ATGATAAAAGTAAAACTCGTACCGAAAGTAATCACTCAAATGGTGCCAAAAATGAGAACAAATGGACAAAACTTAAAAGTTTGGACAATAAGATTGAAAGTCAGAAACCGAGCTATAAGTATATCCCGAGTCATAGAAACGGTTCCAACGGTCACAGCAATGGATTGTCACTTAACGGCAATACAAACACCACTTTTAAAATCCCGAAAAAGGATCCGCAAAACATTGACACTATTATTGAGAGAACTCGTGAGAGGAAAGACAATAAGCAATGGGTCGAGGCTTTCGATATTTTTACCAAAAATCTCAAGAATGAACACTGGATTCAAGAGAATGTGATCTCATTATTGGTCGAAATCGCCAAAGGAATGGCTGCCAGTAATGACTTGAATGGAAACAAATTCAATCATTTCAATGCATTGATTGACAAATTAAAAAGTTTGCGTTTTATTGACGACGAGTTCTGGGATGAAATCATTTTCACGGCCACCAAAAAGATTGACACTAAAAGTAGTACTGTATGTCATCTCTCGCTCTCATTTAGATATCATGTATTAATTGAATGTTTATTTTATTTTGACAGCAAATGAACGCATTTTTGTCCGGATTACACGACTTCTTATTGGATAACAAGATAAGCGCTCGTTTGATCTGCACTGAAGCCGTCGTTATTGCCTATAGAATACAGAATAAACACCCGTCGGCTAAAGACCTGCTCGAGTTGTCGAACCCTATATTGCAACCGATTATTGCATGATATCTACAATCTCTGCAACTCTATTATTATTACCACTAAATATGTATTCATTTATTTCGTATATATTAGCCATTAATTTTTATTTAATAATTATTTTTAAGATAATATCTTAAATATTATGTATGAATTCAATTCAAATCAATCGCTATTATAATTATTTTGTAGAAAACAAATTCATTTCCAATTTATTAAAAAATTATGCTTTTAATTATGTAATTATCAATAAAACTTATTATTGACTTATTTAGTGATAAATTTATCATATATTGTATATTATCTGTAATATTGAGAAAATGTGCATTAATTATCATATAATGGTAATGTGCGGACATGTGTTGATTCAATTGTCTGCAAAATACAATCAACACGACTAGCAATAAGTGGTGTCCAAAGTATTGTCTCATTTAATAACGTCTTTATTTACATCATTAGAAATAAACATTTTATTCAATATTTTTATAGCAATAAATGGCTATAAATATATACGGATGTCATTTATGGACATAATTTAAAGCCCAAACAAACCACACCTC